TGCTCAAGCGGCTCCACGATGTAATTGACGGGTGAAGTTTGTTTAGCCACACGGTAAGGGCCGTTATACTTCCACATCAGTTACGTTGAGAGGCCAGGGCTGGTTGAAGGGATGCGAAGCCAGACAAGATCATCCGATGCATAAGAAGCCGGAGGCGTCGGACTATCGCGGTGGTGTTTCTGGCGTTGCTGTTCAGCACTTGTTGGGGAGCGGGCAAGCTGACGACATTCTTCCGCGTATTTAGCAGCTTGTGACATCGTCGTCGACTCAGCAACATCCGGGCGGTAAGGAAGCATGGTGTCTAGCGTACAAGAGGGCTCGTGACCATAACGGTTGAAGCAGGGAGAGAAATCAGTTGTTGTCTGGACAGCAGTTCTATGCGCGTAGGTTACAAAAGGGAGAAAACTGTCCCAGTTAGAGTGATCGGTTGCGACGTACATCGACAGCATATCTCCTAATGTACGGTTGAGTCATTCCGTAATGCCAATTAGTTTGAGGATGATATGCGGTGATGGTGCGATGAATGACTTGGCATTCCTTGAAAAGCGATTCGACGGCGTCCCACAAAAACACACGCCCTTGGTCACCTATGAGTTTACGTGGTGCACCGTGACGTAAAGTAATCTGATGCAATATGAAACGACCGACGTCCCTCGCTGACGCAGAAGAGAGTGGTGACGTTTCTGCGTAGCGCGTAAGGTGATCGATAGCGACGATTACCCAGCGATTTCCAGCCGGTGTAATCGGAAGAGGTCCATACAGATCGATACCAACATGGTCAAACAGTCGGGTAGGACAACGTATGGGTTGTAGTGGAGCTGGAGAACTTGGAGTGGGATTCTTTCGTCGCTGGCAAGCTAGACAGGAACGTACGTAGCTAAGGACGAAGCGATACATTCCACGTCAGCAGTAGCGGTGGGACAGGCGGGTGTAGGTTTTTAACACTGCTGTATGAGTGCATTGTGGGTTGGCGTGAAAGGAGGCGCATATGCCTGAGCAGAGACATCTTGTAATAATTAACTAGGAGTCATTGGCGTCCATCGGAGAGATAATTCCGTCTGTATTGCAAACCATCTCTGATAACGAAGTGCTGTATTTGACGGCGCGTACCTCTAGGGATAATTTGCGAGGGAGTTTGACTGAACAGGTTGATAAGTGAAGCGATCCAAGGATCTTTTCGTTGCTCCTGTAGCATGTCGCTGACACTAAGCGCAGATATGCCGGGGGCAGGCGAAGACGGCGACTTGTCACTACATCGTAGAGGTGATCGGGACAAAGCGTCTGCGTCGGAATGTTTTTGCCCAAATCAGTAAACGACATGAATGTCGTACTCTTGTAGCCGAAGCGCCCAACGGGCGAGCCGGCCGGTGGGATCTTTTAACGAGGAGAGCCAACATAATGCATGATGATCTGTAACGCTGAATGGATGCCCGTAAAGATAGGGTCGAAACGTGCCTATGGCCCATATGATGGCTAGACACTCTTTTTTCGGTGACTGAATAGTTGGCCTCTGCTTTTGTGAGTGCACGGCTGGCGTAAGAGGCGACGTACTCACAAATCCGGGTTTACGCTGGGGAGCACAGCACTGAGACCAACTCCACTAGCATCCATGTGTATTTCCGTCGGGGCAAGAGGATCGAAATGTCACAGTATAGGAGGTGACGTAAGAAGGTGGCGGAGTGTGGCGAATGCATCATCACAAGCTGACGACCAACTAGAAAGGTCGCTGTTGTCGGCAAGACGGTCAGTCAAGGGCGATATGATGGAGGCGAAGTTGCAAATAAAACGACGAAAATATGAACATAAACCGAGGAAGCTGCGAAGTTTTTTTAAGATGTTCGGCTTAGGAAATTCGGCAATGGCACAAAGTTTCGTTGGATCCGGAAGAATGCCATATCTAGATACAACATGACCCAAAAATAGAAGTTTTCGAGCGCCGAAGCAGCACTTCTTCATGTTGAGCTGTAGACCGGCGGAGGTGAGGCAAGTAAGCACTGTCTCTAGGCGCTGAAGATGCGTTAAAAAGTCGCTTGAAGATATCACGACATCGTCTAAGTAACACAGACATGTCTGCCATTTCAGGCAACAGAGGTTGTTGTCGATCATGCGCTCGAAAGTGACAGGCACATTGTAGAGCCCGAATGGCATGACATTAAATTCGTATAAGCCATCGGGGATAACGAAAGCCGTCTTGGGGCGATCAGCCTCAGCAATGGGAAACTGCCAACAACCTGAGTGCAGATCTAGTGACGAGAAGAACTCCGCGCCTTGTAGGCAGTCAAGGGCATGGTCTATGCGAGGTAGCGGGTAAACATCTTTGCGTGTGATCTTATTAAACCAGCGGTAGTCGACGCAAAATCTTATTGAGCCATCCTTTTTTTTTTTGACTAGAACAACTGGGGAAGCCCACGGGCTCTTAGAGGGCTCAATACCACCTCGCTTCTACATGTCGTCAACTTGTTCCGCGATTATGCGACGCTCAGATGCCGATACCCGATACGGACGCTGACGTGAAGGAGCGTAAAGGCCAGTGTCGATTTGGTGAAATACCGTGAAAGCACGGCCCAAAGTCAGTTGCTGGTGATCGAAGCTGGCGCGGAAG